CAGTATGAGTGACATAGGACTAGAGTTAAGAGTCGTGACTGGATGGATTCTTGATTTGGTCGTTTGACAACGAATTGTTGTTTGACAAGTATTTTCTTGTCTTTGACCATATTTCTATGTATCTTGTCGTTCGTCGATGACAAACGCGACAATTCCCAAGCCTGGTCTTGATTCCAAGAGTTCCAGATCTGAAAACGGGCGCATGTTTCCGTCATCGGAAGCAATTGTTGCCTTTTTCCTCTGTTCGGGACCTAGAACCACTGCGACCAGTAATTTGATGTAGTACATCCCGCGTCTTTAGTTTAGTGCATGTCGTATTACTCCATCACTATTGAGAAATGATGAAGTAATTGATTTTTTTACAGTTGTCATTCTTGCAATTATCGCAAGGATCCGACTCTAATTGAAAGGTCCCGCTATTTATACTCTTTGGAGCGTTGGAACACCCTCCAAAGGCACGCCCCTTTGACAGTCAAAATTGGATTGCTTAGAAACAAAATTAAGGAATGACACCGATAATGACCATGCATCAGAACCATAGCCTTCTTATCTTCTTATTCGCATTTCAAGCTTATTACGTAGCGCATATTAGCTTATTGCGTGCTCTCAACTTAGTGTTCTAAATGCACTTCCACAGTTATTGATTGAGAGCTTTCGATGCCAATACCAATGCATGAATTTGTATATTGTGTTTCAAGCACAATGATACTCTATGCCCAGGGAAGTCGATCAAATTTCCAACCTGAAAGATACCCTCGGCCGGACCGGGAATCGAATCCGCCACCTCCAGCTTGGTAATACCGTGCTTTTTACTGACTAGTCTATGAGGCCCCCAGAACCCTAGCCTTAACCACTTCAAACTAGGGAACAACGGATAGAAGATTAGGGATCATATAGATGAAGACTAACTACCCCATTTTTCCTTGTTTCAATATCATCCTTGGTCTTGTCACTATCAACAAGGCATAAAAGTAACAAGGACTAAGTTGTGTTCCTTGGATTACTGAAAAATCCTGTTCCCCTAGTTTGAAGTAGTCCGGACTATGAATCGGTGGTAGATCTTACATCCCGTAACGTAACACGAAAAGGTGATCTACCCACGTTACAGGATAAAAGCTGCTTATCAAATACATTTACGCCGGATTTTTACAGGAAATTCGCTATCATTGCTGGAGCGTTTGCTCTAACTTGGCTGATATCTTTTGGAACAGCAATGAGTGCAGAGTATCGCAACTGGCTGAGGAACATTCCGAGGTATTTGCAGGAGAAGTCCGAGCAATCTGCATTATTCTTGAGGATGTCAAATACAATCAGCCGTTGTAATTTCAGCCGTCTTGTCGAGACTAGTTCCAAATAAATTAGGGTTAACTACCCCATTCCCGGCCTATTAAGCACAACCCACACTTAGTCTTTATTAATCTAGCGTTGCAAAATATTCGTTTATTGTTGAAAATGCAAAACTGCTTCTGGCGGCTCAACTTGGTCTACGGGTTTTCTTGGGCCAATTATCCATTGAAGTGATGCCTCATTGCCTAGTCAGAAAAGGCATGGTATTACCAAGCCGGAGGCGGCGGGTTCGATTCCCGGTCCGGCCAAGGGAATCTTTTAGGTTGGAAATTTTATCGACTTCCCTGGGCATAGAGTATCATTGTGACAATATACAAACTCAGGCATGGGTATTGGCATCGAAAGCTCTCAATTGATAACTGACGAAGTGCATTTAGAACATTAAGTTGAGAGCACGCAATAAGCTAATATGCACTAAGCAATAAGCTTGAAATGCGAATAAGGAGGAGGTTATCCATTGAAACGCCATTGGGATTCTCTGTGGCCTATTGAATGGAAAGAAAAATGAATTCGCGTACGCCTTTTCTACGTTTCAAGTATGCCATTTGCTTTCGAGATCTTATTTTGCGTTCTTCAACACTTCGTCTTGCAGCTATTGAATAGAAGCATCGTACCAAACGTTTGTTTGACACGTTCACGCCCAAAATAATAGATATAGTTGATGTTTGGGCGAATGGGCGATTAGGCCGAAGTAGAATTTTCCATTAGTCAAAATCGTTCCGAATAATCGGGGAGAAGAACAGGATCGTTCCATGATAGATACCCAAGAGCAAAGTGAATGATTTTTTTTTACTTTAAATGATCTATATTTCTTGAATGTGTGAGGATTACATGTGTTACTCATCAAGTGACACAGATGCGTCTTTTCAACTTAAGTTCTTTTTAAATTTCAATTATTATTAATTAAATTTCCTAGTCCTATCAGGCCTGTTTAGAGAATAACCATCTTGGTGGGATTGGTTTAATTTCAATTGGAAAAAGGAGACTACTTATAACTACTATTTACTACATGCACCTAACCTACTATATACAAATCGCTATCAAAGCATGTTCTGATATATTACATTTTTGTGTAAATTTAGTCTTAATTTCGTTAATTTTGGAATCTATTTTGGAAATGCCTGCCCCTTCGTGTAATTTTTTATTCTAGTGTCCAAAGGACGATCAAGTACCATCCTCAGCACTCTATTCTGAGCGACCTGGATTTTGTTCCTGTGAGTCTGTGCACATGATTCCCACAACAAAGCTGCATAGAGGATCGCAGGTGCTATGATTTGTTTGTAGATAGCCAGATTGTTCACCCTTGAGAGCCGGGATCTGGGGCAAATCAGTGAATACAGACACCTAATTAAGGCAGAACACTTGACTACAGTTTTCTCTACATGTGAACGGAAGAGGAGCTTTTCATCGAACAGCATCCCGAGATAGGTTACTTCGGCAGACCACTCAACCCTTGTGCCATCCATGATTACAGTACAAGATGGAGCCGGTTTCAGTTTGGGAGATTTCCGATTGATTTAGATTTTCCACGTGGTGGCATGATCAGCAAAACCGTTAAGGCATCGTTGAAGTTTGTTCGTTATTTCGCGAGGCATCCTTCCTTTGACGGTTTTTGCGGTATCATCTGCGAACAGGAAGAACACGCAACCGTCTCCGAAGGGAGGAATGTTGGAAGTGTAAATGCTATAAAGCAAGGGGCCGAGCAGACTGCCTTGCGGGACGTCTGCTGGGATGGAAAACGTGTCTGAAAGACAACCATTCAACGATACCTTAAACGACCTTTGCTGGAGGTAGTTACAGGTGATTTTAACCAGATGTAATGGGAAGTTCAAGTTACAAAGCTTGTACACAAGTCTGTCATGCCAAACATTGTCAAACGCCTTTTTAACGTCTAGCAAGGCCATGGCTGTGGAATTGGATACAGCTTTGTTACTTCGGATGTTATTCATCACCCGTACCAGCTGGTGATTGGTGGAGAGCCCCGTTCTGAACCCAAACTGTTCCGGAAGGAGAATTCTCAAACGATTGAGAATGAGCACTGTAAGGAGGCTGATTGATCTGTAGCTTGAAGGCAATGTTAGGTCCTTACCAAGTTTGCGGATTGGTATGATTTAGCTACTTTCCAGATGCAGTTCGCTCTATAAGAATCACCTGAGAAGTATGGTCTGGGAACCAAGTGGGAGGAGCGTATTCTAGGATACTACGTACCAAAGGTGAATTGTGGTGCATTGTGACGGATGAACCCAAGAATTGAAAAACCTTTGGCAGTAATAGTGGAGATGCGTTCGTTGAATCGGTGATTGGAATCGTTGTTGAGTGTCTTTTACTTATTTGGACAATTCTCGTTTAATCAATTTTTAGACAAATCTGTATCATACAATCCGGTCACCGAGTGAAGTAAGCATGTTGGTAGTAATCAAAATGACAGCACGGTAGCTGTCAAATTAAAAACACATACACTGGAAAAAAATCCCACGCCTAATATAAAATGTGCATGTTAAATTCACATAGCTGTAAATCTAACCCCAAAATCACATGCAAATTATGCTTCTGATGAAATCTACCAATCTGACCAATAAATTGATTTATTTAGATTTCCGACATAATTTTTCATCATTTTTAGAAAACTTAAGGCACACAATGCGTAAATATTTCGTAATCGGTGGTATAGCACTCGTTAAAGCATTTGTTAAAGAAAAGCTTTAAACACGGTATCTGCTACGCTGCTAAATTTAACTTTCAGTGAACGTTAACCACTTCACAAACATCATTGTCCGGGGATCAAAATCAAAACTGAAAAGCACTCTCAATCAAATTTATTTCGATCGACCCGCCAATGATCGAATGTATAACCAAGCGAACGCAAATCGCGTATGTAAAACAGAATCGAATCGGATGCAAATTGCGTTCGTAAAACTTGCCACTCATCATAAATTGCCCCCGTGAATTTTGCGCAAAGCTCAAACGTGCCCTCTCTCTCTCTCTCTCTCTTACCCTCAACCCCCCTCAATTGAATCCACCTTTTCAACTGCATCGCGAAATAAACAAATTTTGCATATTATTCAAATGTTACGCTATTCCTTCTTCCTTTATATTTTTGCGAACTCACGTATCAGCGGTCCCGGTTACCTTTCCTACCCACCTGCCTTTTCCATTTTCTTCACCCAAAATATTCGATATTGATTTCATTTGTTTGCTTTCCGTCCGTCATGATGTTTTTCTTCTCATACTCACTCACTCACTCACTCACTCATTTCTGCATCCGTTCATTGTTCAGAGCACCACTTTTTCTTCCGAATAAAATAAAAATTTCCGATCTTCTTCTCTCGTACTTTGTTTTGTTTCAATTTCGGTATCTCTTAGTCCTTCAGCTGTTGATCTGAGATTGTTGTCTTCGTGTATTTCCTTTTCTTTTGCATTAATTTTTTTCTACCCTCTTCATTCTGAACGCCAAACCGCACGCCGCTCTCGGGCACGTAAATCGAGTTAATCGAGTTTTTCTTTTTTCTCTCCCACCACCTGCTTCGGAACAACAACAACAACAACCACCACCACCACCATCAACTGTGACTGTGTCGCTGGATGCGTTATTTTTTTTATTCGTTTCGGTACGGTATGGTATGTGATGCAATTTGCGGTGGTGCCAATTCCAGGAAACCGGAGGACAGCCAGCGTGCGTTCGGTCGGCTACAGCGACCTGTTCGTGCTCAGCAAGAAGGACATGTGGGACGTGCTGAAGGAGTACCCGGCGGCACGGGTGCGGCTGGAGGCGATCGCCGTCAAGCGGCTCGAAAAGTACAAGAAGGCCCCGCTCGAGAAAGGTAATGTCGGGATGAGCCGGACCAAGAAACCCAACCGTTGCCATATCACCATCCTCCTGCTACTTAAAAACCACCACCTTCACCTGCATCCATTCGAACACGCCGGTTTAGATTAGCACAGTGTGTTGTGTGTGTGTGTGCATTGTTTCTTTTTTGTACAGAGTGTTTGAGTGCGTTTTTGATTAGAACATTGTAGATAGTATTAGGTTTAGGGGATTGTGATATTACTTTGTGACTGATTAGTGTGCATTACTCCTACCTAAACCATGCTTTTTTAGTTGTTTACTTGAGGTCAGAACGGTGCTAACATAATTGCAAATCGTAGTTTAGAACGATAGCATTGATTTTGACCATGCCTTTGTAACCATTTTTGCTTTTAATCGAACGAACTCGAATATCCCGTAGGAATAGGGAGGATATGACGTTTGGATGGTGTTTTGTTTTAATTTGTTTCTTATTAAAGAGAACGAGAGCATATAGGGTTGGTCAATACAACAACACCGTTTAGAAGGGACGGCTATCAATACACCTTCATCACGAATATCTACGCAATATGGGTATCTACGGAATGGATTCGATGAGTAGAAGCAACAAATCAACATTCGCCGTTATTTTGGAACTCAAGATGGTAGACCAAAATCCAATATGGAGGCGTTTATGTATTTAAACCAGTGTTGGCTAAAATCAAGATCAGAAATTCAAAATCAGCTATTTTTCAAGATCAATAGTACCTAAAATCACAGGTCATCATCACCACGAAAATCACGTGCAATTTTCGACCAACATCAGCTGTGATTTTCGATTCCCAAAATCAACCAGCATCAATATCTACCAAGATCAAAATCATAGCAAATCATAGGACTAGAAGATATGTTAAATTCTGGAGTCGTGACATTCCGAAATTCAAGTCAGTTAATTTCATCCGGAATTAATTAAATGGTGGATCTTGGGTTGAAAGATGGCATCCATAAATCCAAGATGGCGGACCAAACTCCAATATGGTGACCTCCGGACAGTGAATTTGCATCTAAACCCATGCAATATGGGTATCTACGGAATGGGCTCGATGAGTAGAAGTGGAAAATTGACATACGTCGCCATTTTTGAATTCAAGATAACGGACCAAAATCCAACATGGCGTAGTTATCCATATTGCATGGGTTTAGATGCATATTCGCTGTTCAGAGGCCGCCATTTTGGAGCTTGGCTTGAATACGGTGACGAAAGGTTTCCGCTGCACAGTTAAAGTCGAAAAACTCGTAAAACTCATTGAAACGCCCAGACATGAACCGTATTGGGTCATGCAAGCTGTAGTTCGCAGCACGAGGTCCAAGATGCAGGAAACTTCTCGACCGAAGAACTCGTTCGGGTGCGTAGATTTCGAATTCAGCCAAGATTCCTAGAGAGTCGATATCACCAATAAGTACTTTCGCTGCGAACACGGCCTGACTAATCGTCCGCCTATGTTCTAGTGTTTCAAGACCCAGGAATAGACAACGATCTTCATACGGCGGAAGGTTCACAGGGTCATTCCAAGGAAGGTGACAAAAGGCATACCGAAAAAATTTCCTTTAAACAGATTCAATCCTCGCTATCCAAACTGCTTGATACGGGCACCATACTACCGAGCTGAATTCCAAGATTGATCGTACTAGAGAGCAGTATAGAGCTTTTAGTCAGGCAGGATCGCGAAACTCGTCAGCGATCTTGAAAATGAACCCGAGTTGCCTGTTAGCTTTCGCAACGATGCCCGAGTAATGAAGCATTAATGTTAAGGCGCAGTGCAGCGTGATTCCTAGGTCACGAAGATTGTCCACACGTTGCAGAAGTTGGTGATTTATCGTATTGTTGAATGCCACTGGTTTCAGCTTGCGATGAAATTAGATAATATTACATTTTTGTACATGCAACGTGAGATAGTTTCTTGAGCACCACTCTTCGAAAGTATCGATTAGGTGCTGAAGCCGCAAGCAATCGGCGAAGCTACGAACAATCACCTAGATCTTCACATCACCCGCGTAGAACGATCGGCCACCAGTTGGGAGGATCAGTCCGGCCTCATTCACAAAAATCGAGAATAGCAATGATCGCAAGTTGCTACCTTGAGGAACACCGGAGCTGTTTGTAAAATAGTCCGATTGCTCTGATGCGATTCTTACACAAAGTTCCCGATTGGTCAGATAGGACTTGAACCAACGAGTTAAACCCGAGGATACACCGAGTTTTTCAAGTTTAACTAGCAGTATGGAGTGGTCAACCCGGTCGAATTCAGTCTTAAGATCTGTATATACAACGTTGACCTGCGCTCCAGCTTCCATACTCCGAAGACATAAATAAACGAACGGAGCTAGATTTGTTGAAACTGATCTCTTGGGATAAAAACCGTGTTGGTCTGGAGAAATGTAATTTCTGCAGCTAGAGAATATGCGTTTGGTGAATGGGTCAAGAGTATGACAGTATTTACGGAGGGCCTTCGATCTCAGACGCTTCAAATTCCGTAGTCGAGCATTGGACCATGCGGATTTGGGAGAGGGTCTCCTCAATGGGACAGAATCAGTTATTGCCCGGCCAACGACCTCAGCGAAGTAGTTGACGACTTCATCAATAGATGAACACGTGTCAAGGAACTGCCAATCTGCCTGGACAAGCGAGTGACTCAGCGCGACGAAATCTGCTCTACGAAAGTCGAGCTCATGTACATCAACAGGGGGGTTATCGTAGTGAACAGGAACAGATAGGTTGATGGAAATTCCAACGCAGGATGATTGGTGCCGATGCCAATCAAAGGCTCTGAGGCTTCTAGGATAGAACATTCCAGTCCTGCAGCTTCGTTCGCCAGAACGAGATCAAGCAGTCGAGAGTTGCTATTCAGTATCGAGTTGATTTGCGTTAAGCCATGCAGGTTCAAACCATCAAGGAGAGCACAGCAGAATGCGGGCATGTTCGAGCGAAGGACATCAATGCTAGAAAGATCGTTTGCAGGAACGTTCCATGAGAGCCCATACTGATTGTAGTCACCAAATACCAGAGATAGGTCGTTTTGTTCTAGTCGAGAGAACACGGTACCTATCGAACTGATGTGGTTTACAATGCTGCTTGAATCAGATTTCCGGTCTGGAGGTAGATACATAGCGCCAATACTTATTGATCTACGAGGCGTCGTTATTTTGATCCACAGCTGCTCTAGAGAAGTGCAAACTGGAGCAGGATCGATGCAGGAGCTTAGGCGTTTGGATACCGCAATCAAGATGCCTCCCCCACGTGATTTGGTACTATTCTGGTGGTTGCGGTCGTTTCGAAATACCGTGAATAGACTGCCAAATAATTGAGATGAATTAATGCGGTCATCAAGCCAGGTTTCCGTAAGAACTATGACATCATAGTCAGAGTCAACGGCAGTCAGGAAAAAAACATCAATCTTTGTTCGCAGGCCACGAACGTTCTGCTAATACACCAACAGGCGGTCGAACGAAGTCGGTTGGAGGTCTGCAAAATGATCGATTAGTCGAAACGAGCATGGTGGTACTCTGGAACACAGAGACGGATCAGGAGAAGAACTGTTTTCAACAAACGCATACTTGCCTGATGTAGAAGGTTGGAAGACCCCTTCACCATTCTCAACCATAGGGCCAGAACGAGTACGACGACAGGAATCACCAAGCGTGACTGGGTTGAGTGGCTCAGGGGCTTCCTTGAGGCAGCAGGCAGCGCGTTCTGGTCTGGGATGTTCCAAAACGTGGCGAGCAAGATCCGGTGCAGTGCTGTATGTCCCATCGGTGATGTGGGATTCGAAGCCATCGGAGTATGACGTTTCAGTCGGCAGATGTCAATTTTACACTTCTACACATCGGGCCAATTCCGAAGATTACAAGGTCTTCAATACTATGTATAGTATATGACAGAATTTACTCACTAGATGGCTTTTAACATAAAATGATCAATTGCACCATCTTAAATACAAATTATGTAACGCGATATACAGATCCTGCTCATATATATGGTTCGCTTCTTCGGAAAAGTTGCTCAGATGACTTAAACTGTAGTTATTTACGATACTGTATGTACATTGTTATACGACTTCTGGTTGTCTGGGTAGCTCAGAATTCACTCAGGCGGCGCTAGTGTGACATTCATTGTGAATTGTTTGCCATAACTTAACATCTTGACTAGAAAGAAGGATCCCGTCTTCGGCAAAATTGTTCAGATGGACCAGACCTATTGTATGATAAAGAGTTTACTTTTGAATTTACTCACCTTCAACCACAAATCTGCTATCTAATTCATATGCTAATTTAGGGGAAACAATACAACATTAATGTTACACAAGGACTGCCTTTTAAGTGAATTCTGAACTAAACCCTTTACTTTAGAATAAGTACTGTCCATCTGATCAACTTTATCCAATATAGAAACCTTCTATCTAATCCATACGTTAGGTTAGTGCAAACAATGAATAATCAATGTCACACTACCGCTGCCTGGTGAGTAAATTCTGACCTGAACTGTAACATTAGCGCTGCTTGGTGAGTCGTTCAAAACGAAACTCATTTCATTAAGATAGTTCTTGTCAATTTGAACATCTTTGCCGAAGACCAAAACCTTCTATATAGTCCATATGTTACGTTAGAGCAGAAATAATTGTCATACTAGCGCCGTCTGGTGAGTTGATTCTTAGCTGATTTCTTTACCATAATATAGGTATTGTCCATTTGAACAACTTTGTCGCAGACGGGAACCTTCTATCTAGTCAAGCTGTTAATATAATCCCTTGAAGAGTCCAAACATGGCCGTCATGATGGCTGATATGTCCTATCACTTCATGTTTTCAAGCGTGCAAATCTCGTACACCGTTGTGATGACGCTCATGATATTGCTATTTCTTGTTAACTGCACTGTAGCGAATGTGGAGTACCAGTTTCATTGATGTGTGTTTAGTTATATTTAGCTGATATTTTGGCATTAGAAATTTCGATGTGATAATGAGATTAATCAGAAACCAGGTTTCCACAGCGCTTAAACTTGAATTCGGGCAAACAATTCAAAACAAATGTCATACAAGCGGCACCTTGTGAGCAAATTCTGATCTAAACTCTTTACTTTATGATAAGTTTTGCCCGTCTGAACCACTTTGTTGAAGACGACAATCATCTATATGATTTGTTTATACGATGGAGCAATTTGATCATTTTCTTTTTAGCGGCATCTAGTAAGTACATTCTGTTCCATAGTTCTGAAGACCTTGTATTCTTGAGTATCTGTGCAGAAGAAAGTAACATCCTATTGATACAAACATCTCTAACATCAAAATATGCCACTTCATGGGATTATTTTCCCAATGACCCCTCCCTTTGAGGGATCCGCCTCTTAAGAAATCTTTGATAGTATAAACTGAAAGTACATTAAATTTACTTTACAATGCATTACAAATTTCAAACATCCATTGAACCTTCGCTGAGATATGACAATTTGAATTTGAGGTCAAATTGAGCCCAAGGTACAGACAACGTAAGCTTTTTTTTTGGCACAGACGAAGGGTTAACGGTAAGTACCGTGAACTTCAGGGCAGTTCTAGGCAGTTCTAGGCAGCTTATAGAACTTCACGAAAGTTCCATTAAATTGACGAAAAACGATACTGAATGCTGCGAACATGTTCTCAGTCTTAAATATCGTTTCCTGGTCAAGAAAAAGTTACATCTAGTCGATAAACATGAGAATTTCAGGAACTTTCAATGACATTCATGGAAATCCAGAAAACTTCAGTTCAAAGATCTTAAGATGATCTTTCCTTAAGAGCGTCGAGAAAGTTTTGAGAACTTCAGGACAGTTCAGTGATCAATCCCTTTATTATCGTCACCGTTACGATCCAGGGGTTGTGATCTTTATCAGGGCTATTTGAAGATGGCTTAAAACGATACGAACGTATGTCCTCTGAAGAAGACCAAGTCCACAGACCAAAACGTAAAACATAAAACATCGTAGCGTTTTGATCTACCTTTAAGTTGAAAAGCTCATTCCCGAAAAAAAATAATACATGTAGGTTTTATGGCGAGCATATTTCAGAAAAACTTAAACCGTATTCTATTATTAATGGGAAATGGAATTATAAATTTGTTGTGCCAATGCAATGTTTTAAAATGTCAGATTGAATTACTTACAACGTAACATTAATTTACACGCGTAAAGACTCCACCTTTGTAGGTGTTTCACACTAAGAATTAACAGTACAGAACTTCGATTAATTGTCTTTCAGCCCTGCATAAGGATATTGGTTTTCAAAAGGTTCAAAACTCCCTTTGACCTGGATTTTTCCACTGTTAAAACCACTTAATTTTTCCGGAATTCATAGTCAATATCAATTTTGCTCATGGAAAAAAAATCCTTCAACGTTCAACAACCAAGCAGAATTTAATGCAATAAAATAAAGTAAAAATTGATGAAAAAGCTAAATAAATGAATAAAATATTATTCTGACCCACGTATATTCCTCCATAGAGCTATTTTTTCGTTTGTTGAAACATTTATTATTCCATTTGTCCCTGCACGAATTACTGCTACAGCTTTTCGATTTCCCATCGAGTTGCTTTTTTTCGGTTCCTTCGTTCGCCAAATTCCCATATTTCAATCCCATAGAGCCAGCCGTGCAAACCTACTAGCCAGGTCCCCGCCGTTCTCTTCCTAGATTCGTTTGATTTTCCGTTCACATCACTCACGTCCTCGAGCGTATGTTTGTGTGTAGTGTAGATAGGTAGTTGAAAATAAAACAGTCCAAGCAAAACACCACCCTCGCCACCCCCCACCACCCTTCCGATCCCGAATAGTGTGCCCCGTTTGATTAGATTGTTATTGTGTTAACTATGTGCTATTTTTGCGATTAATCATTCAAAACACCAAAAGTCGCTATGGGACGCTGCCAATCGACGCCCGGATTAGTGGAGACACGGGGCCGGACCACCATCGAGGACATGTGGATATCACCGACGACGGCGATTACGTCCGCCAGCTCGATGGTTCCTACATATCCACCGCCGGCCGGCAGGTAAGAGCGTGAGCGAGAACCGAGAATGAAGCGGGGTTTGCGCGATTAGAGATTCTCTTGCTCCCAGAACACACTATCTTTCTGTCCTAGTCCTATATTGCTATGCATATATTATATACATAAATAGATATATTACTAGAGTGTTACCATCAATATGAAAGCAAAACAAAACCAAAAAAGTATCGAGCCCAGTGCGGTTTCTCATCCCGACATTTCCATCGATGACACTGCTGCAGTGAGGTGCAGCACGTGTGCCTTGTGCGTGTGTGTATGTCTGTGCATCACACAATCGTTGACAAACGACTATGGGATTATCCGAAACGAATGGCGTAACGTTATTATCTCTTATTTGCCACTTTGTATATATATCAGCTTTGCATTCGTGTATAATGGACAAAGGTTTTTGAAGGAATCGAATGCGGAAAATTGGCACGCTTTATGTGACTGTAATTGAACAGAGAGTGAACTAAGTGCTTGAGGTGTTTCCTTGTGGAGTCCTTTTTCTTAAAACACTGCGCAATTTGAAGAACACTAATATCAAGATTTACGAGGTTTCAGACATTGCTTGCTTCTCCTCGGCAAGCAACAAGTAGTAATTTCAACTGCGTGCATTCACCAAACACCGTATATTTTGTCATGTGCAATTGCAAACAGTAGTTTGAAAAGGACGCTACAAGGAATCATGTTAACGGCATATTTTTTCGATAGTTTTGCCCTGAATTAGCTCCTTAAGCTTGGCACATGGAATGGCTTTTAACTTATTTGACAAACAATTGATTTTCTTCAGTTAACCGACAAAATACACACTTAGAAATTATCACCGACTTCGGTAATTTTTACCAAAATCTGAACAGCTGAACTTTTCGGTAAAATTTATGCAATTTAATTCAATTGCTTTTCAGTTACTTTGAAACTAAATCTACACTAAAATGAGAAAATTTGATCGTTTATACAAGGTTGAACATGTTTTGAAACTATTTTTGAATTCAATGGACTTTAAAATGAAGGTCAAAGTTTTACCGAACGTTCAGCTGTTCTGATTTCGGTAAAATTTACCGAATACGAAAACAAAATCTTAGTGTGTACAATCTATGGTTGCCCATAAATTACGAATCAGTATTTTGTCACACAGGAGTAACTCATTTTCTAGGCACAAAAAAAAAGAAGAATTGAAGTTTCTCATATAGGTCTTTCAATAAATAAACTCGTCCCCCTAATAAACGCATTCCATTCTTTCATTTACAGCTTTCTGCCGAAGAACGCGTTACCCACCGAGGTCTTCCCACCACTTTTTCTCAGAGAGTGACTATACAGCCAAAAAATGCTATGAAATTCCATCCTTTTCATGTAGCCTTTTTGTGAATGTAAAAACATGTAACACAATTCTACATACTTTAACAAAAGCTACATTTTCATTACATGCCCCATTTTTTATCATTTAAATAGTGTACGTCGTATGTTATTTTCATTATTTTTGACGTAGACTACGTCTGTGATTCTTATATGGGGGTACACTTTGTGAAAACCGAAAATGGAACATGTAACAAAATTATGAAAGATTTGGAATGTGAATAACTCAGCTGATTCTGGACCAATCGGTTAGAAATATTTCTACGCATCTGTTGAATTTAAGACTAAATTATTTTTCAAAATGAAACGATTGAAAATTGCACGAATGTGCAACTGTTGTTATGAAAGTTAAAATTATCACCGAATGCCTGCGAAAAGCGATTTCCCTATCACAGATTTCAAAGTTGAATTCAATCACCGCGTAGTCCCAAGTAACCCCCAAGCCCGCTAACTACCCCATAAGCGCCCTTTTTGGTAAATATAGGGTTTCCGAACTTTATATAAGTCGTATAGCAGTTTTATATGCCAAAAAGGGCGATTAACGGGCTTGTTGGTTACTTGGGGTGAGTGGTTGTGTTCTCCAGTGCATAACGAAAGGCTGCCTGCAAGCAGCGAACTGCAGCCAACATGAGCATCCATCGAAGGAGGAAGAAGCAGCACCGCTATTGATCGGAATCAGCAGCTCTTTGTGAGTCGCTGTGGGCCATCTTTGCCAAGCGCGTCATACTAAAGAGTAGAAACAGAGAGAACCCCGCTCAAATTCATATTCCTACACAAAACACTAGCTCCTGCTGCAGTTAACAAATAACATGTACTATATAAGACCACGTAGTCCTACGTCACCATTGCGTACAACCCCATAGGGGGTCCCTTGTAGTTTTTAGTGTGTAGTTCTCCATTGACACTCAGTAGGTGACACGTCCTTCGGGGGATAGCTGTATTTGAATAAGTTTGAAGTAAGTATCAGTGAAAATTGGGATTATTTATGCCTTTAGACAAATTGAAATTAAAGCTGGATTCCTCCGAAAGATGACTTTATCTTTGTGATCTCTATATCTGTAGCTTCAAAGATTCGGTTGAATCACTTGAATCATTAAAACCGATTTCTTCGCCAAAACTGCAAATTGCCACAACGGCGAACAATGCGGTCGCGTAGAATTACTCCAAAATTGATTATTTTAGGTATACAGTGTCCTCGGAGAAGCACTGGCAAAGCCCTATCTTTTAACAGTATTAAGGTTTTTGAAAAGCGAAGATAGAGGGTTGTTTTTTTTATATAATGCGTTTATTTTAATAGAGAGTTGGTGTTTTTGGGCCAAGTTGCAGTAAATGAAACAACTCTTTTGAAGACATCAATCCTCCATCTATTCACCGAATAAAGCTATGGAGCGTTGCTTAAGGGGGCCTCCCTTAGCTCAGTCGGTAAAGGCACAGCCACAAAGCAAGACCATGCTGGAGGTGGCTGGGTTCGATTCCCGAGCCGGTCTAGGAATTTTTCGGGTTGGAAAATGTCTCGACTTCCCTGGGCATAGAAGTATGATTGTACTTGCCACACAATTATACCAATGCAAAAATGGTACAGGCATCGAAAGCTCTTAATTAATAACTGTTGAAGTGCATCTAGAACACTAAGTTGAGAGCACGCAATAAGCTAATATGCGATATGCAATAAGCTTGAAATGCGGAGAAGAAGAAGAAGAAGAAGCGTTGCGTAAGGACGATACATAAAAATGTGTTCTAACTATATTTTTTTCCACGTAATTATTACGTGTTTTTTGACGTAGGACTACGTCTGTGATTTCTATATGGGGGTACACTTTGTGAAAATCGAAAATGGAACATGTAACAAAATTATGAAAGATTATGAACGTTAATAACTCAGCTCCCCCTGGACCAAATTCAATAATTTTATCACCAATGGATCAGAAATATTTGTACGCATCAATGCAATCTTCCGACTGATGATTTTAAACAAGAAAATATTGAAAAAGTGGGAATTTCAAGCATTGTCAAGCGATAATTTTATCAGTGTTTTCATGAAATACACGTTCTTCCCAAACCCAGTAGTCATAATCATAATCAAAAGATATAAAAGAGCACTGCTGTCTAGCCTCAACTCATTTTCGCTTCGGACGGCGTGGTGAGCAGGCAGCAGAAGCAACAATAGCAGCAGTAGGAATGTGGTGGCATGTTAGGTAGTCCACTCTTCTACCTAACAAGCAACAATGACTGGTCGCGGCAAAGGAGGAAAAGAAGGCGCCAAGCATCATCGCAAGGTTCTTCGTGAAAACCAGGCTTCCAGTGCGCGCGCTACCGTATGCGAGACGCAATACGAATAGTCTCATAGTCATAGCAGTCTCATGCGCAAGAGATTTGTAGCACTCTGTTTCTCTCTCTTCAGTTTTGTCGCATCTCACATTCTCATAATGTCAGTGTGTCGCACTGTTTTGTAAGCACAGCACATTTCCGGATGTATGCGTTTCATAAGAACGAGTATCATGCGACGTCGCGTGAGCCGAAGCGCATGCGCTTTTCGCAATGAGACGTCGCTAAGCGACGTTTCAATGCGACATCGAAATAACAAACTCAACTGGAAGACCAACTCGTGTTCTTGATGTGGCAAAAGTGTTGTTTTGTTTTGAAAACGATGGAAAGCGACCTAGCTACTACACTCTTATCGAACATGGAGAAGAGGTGTCAGATGGCTATGACCAACAAAGTTTTTCTAGCGGCAATTTTCGTTGATTAAAGGATTAACTTGACAAATAGCCCATTCATGACGAACGAAGGAAGAGATGTGGCTTTAGTAAGCGAAGTGTACAATCAAGTTGTGGTTTATTTGCTCGTTAATATGCTTTTTTTTTTTCAATTTCACCGAGGGTCCAAGGTACTAACACTAGAACTTTTTGGAAATCTGTTATCGCAAATTGATTGTTTCAGCATCATGGTGGCTGGTATGAACTATCCTGTGAGCACTAACACATCTGAAGAATTCAGATGCTGCCGTAGTCAGTTTTGTTGGTTGACAGGTATTCAATACAATTCCTGAAGCAAGAAGCTTAGCAACAATCCGTAATACAGATATGACACAACTTTTTCCTAAATTTATTACATTAACATTAATCCAGCATTTCGTACCTACGTACACTCTGGTGCAAAGTTAATCGGACAAAGGTAGTTTTCATACAAAATAGCCAAGTTTAACATGTTGTAAATGTGTTCTGTTATGATCAATTGAGCTGAAATTTTGACGCAAAACTACAAATATGTTGAATTTCACGTGTAAGAAATACAAAATTTTTTGAAGCACCTGCTGGAAGGTGACAATAAAATTAAAATTTGTGCATAGCTGATCAGACTAAGGTCAATGGAAAAGCAAGTTTTGAGTCAATATTTCAGCTCAATTGATCATAACAGAACAAATTCACAACATGTTAAACTTGGTTAATTTTTAAGTGTAGAATTGTGTGTATCTAATGAGAAGTCACCACCAACGTTTTTGCAGCAAAGTACACTTCTGCGTTTAAAATAATCCCTAAAATAGTGTTCACTCAAGCCAGACAAAATAAAAATATTAATCTTCAGAGTTCTATCATTACTAGCGTGTTGATATGATAGTCAGACCGAACTGTGACATTTTATTTGATTTC